AGAGTAGAGGCTTCAGCAGGATGGGGCTGGGTAGAGGCTTCAGGTGGTTATTTGAGGACGAGAACGGGGGTCCTGTCAGCACCGCTCCACAGCGCTGCGTCACAACCGCTCTGGTACCCTTCTTAGCGGCCCTGAGCTGACCTCACGGGATCGATCGGGAGGGTAGAGACTTCAGCAGGATGGGGTGACACCGCACACAGCGCGAGCTTCGCTGGACTTGTCGGTCGAGCATTTTCGTGGAATGCACATCAGCTTAAGGCTGTCGTGCTATGGCTTCTCACGCACCCAACCTTTCACCCTGGACCCTATGCTGTAATATCAAGGACCACGTCCACGTGGGCAAGCCAGGGAGCCTGCAAAAGCTCAAGGGCGCGTTCAGAGTTGCGGTGAAACTTGTCACCGTCGACAGATCGCCCGGAGAGAGAGAGAGAGAGAAGATAGAGATAGAGAGAAGAGAGAGAGAGAGAGAGAGAGAGAGAGAGAGAGAGAGAGAGAAGAGAGAGAGAGAGAGAGAGAGAGAGAGAGGGGAGGAGAGAAGAGAGGGAGAAGAGAGAGAGAGAGGAGAGAGAGAGAGAGAGAGATAGAGAGAGAGAGATAGAGAGAGAGAGAGAGAGAAGAGAGAGAGGAGAGAGAGAGAGAGAGAGAGAGAGAGAGAGAGAGAGAGAGAGAAGAGGAGAGAGAGAAGGAGAGAGAGAGAGAGAGAGAGAGAGAGAGAGAAGAGAGAGAAGAAAGAAGAAGAAGAGAAAGAGAAGAAGAGAAGAGAGAGAGAGAGAGAGAGAGAGAGATAGAGAGAGAGAGAGAGAGAGAGAGAGAGAGAGAGAGAGAGAGAGAGAGGGGAGAGAGAGAGCAATCCACCACCGGCATCATACTCAGCTGCTGCGCATCCTGGACTACCCGGGCCCCCACCTCTTGCATTTTGTGGTCGCAATTTGAAGGATGTGAAATCTCTTATCCACTGTCAAATCAACTACCACTGTCGCTGTTTGTATTTTGCCACTGCATTGACATTTGAATGTCACTAGAGTAACGGCTGTTCAAAAAATAAACTTGCCACTTTTGGGTAAACCTTGGTTAACTTATACCTACGCCACGCTGAACTTTCAAAAGCTACCATGTGATATAGTCCATTTGATTTTTGTTGTGATCTCCTGTGTTATCTTGTGAAAAACCTACCAACGTGTACAAACTGGTCCGACAAATAAGGGAGCTGGCATGACAACACGTTAGGTACCAACAGGTTACTATGTGGTACAAAATGAGCATACCTTAATATCGATCTACTTAGGTACCAACATTTCAGATAAATATTCTGCATTTATTTGGCCAAGTAATCCATTTTTGTTCACACGCATTGGGGGAGGTGAAGGAAGGAGGGCTCATGTCAGCATGGGCATCCTCCCCCCCCCCCAAAGTATATGAGGCAACGCCTGTGGCTCCCGCCATCATGGGCTCCTGATAGTTTCAATACCATGGAATCCCGAACATTTCCTATCGTCTTGTGAACTTCTGACTTTCTTGAAGGTTCCTTGGTCGTATCGGTGGACTGTTGACCACCTGCAGATTCCCTGACCACTCAAAGGTCCTGCACCACCTGGCAGGAAGAGGCCATTGCGTAACCCAGGATCTTGAGTCTGCTATAACTGTGGAGTAGCAGCTCCACGCTCCCCTATTTCATTCCTTGTATATATGTACGCGCACCGTGTGATTGGGCCGAGGGTGTCCTCTCCGGCGCATTTCCGACTGCCCACCTGACTACACTTCACCAAAGTGAAGCAATCAACTCCAGGATCTCATATTACATTACCGGGCCATCTCAACTAGACGTCGCGACTCAGCCACTGCCGACACATTTGCCAGTTATTTCCGTGCATATCCATTTGCGTGTTCGTCTGCGTGTGTGGGCGTGCGTACGTACGTGCGTCCTCGCGTGTGTAGGTGTGTGTGCGTGTGTGCGTGTGGCGTGTGTGGGTGCGTGCGTGCGTGCGTGCGTACGCGTGCGCGCGCGCGTGCGTGCGTGCGCGTTGCGTGCGCGCGCGCGTGTGTGTGTGTGTGTGTGTGTGTGTTGTGTGTGTGTGTGTGTGTGTGTGTGTGTGTGTGTGTGTGTGTGTGTGTGTGTGTGTGTGTGTGTGTGTGTGTGTGTGTGTGTGTGTGTGTGTGTGTGTGTGTGTGTGTGTGTGTGTGTGTGTGTGTCCCTCAAACCGATCATCTCATCAGCATATCTCCGCGTAACATCCACCATCAACTCAGGCATTCGAATAGCATTGTGTGGAAGGCCCACTTTCTTCCAGAGCACCCTTCACCAGTTAAGGCTAATTCGTCGTCTCGACGGACCTCGGCAGTCCAGCGCAATTCATGAAACCAATGCAAAATGGAAACGAAATTGTTGAAGACAAAGCAGTGATGCCGAAGGCTTGTCTCTTTCACTGTTTTGCATGGATGTAAGTCTGGCCAATTCCTTGAATCAAGCATCCATTACAGGGACAGTCCGGGGCGGAGAGACCAATTTGGTGGAGGAGCGGACACGCAATTGAACCTGCTGAATGCGCGGTGTCCTGTCATCCAGCACGGCACACATACACAATAGACCAAACACTCACCGCAACGCACACGCCCAGCCTTTTGTGTCCGCGCCGTTTCGCCGCCTCTGAGACGGCCAATTTGAAAATGAATTAGATTCACCCTATTCTGTGCTAATTAACGGACGCTGCCAGCAGAAATGCCGGCGCGGAATGCAATTAACTGACGGCTGGCTTCGTTGTCCGGGCTCCGATTGCTCGATGGCGATGGCTTCTGGGTACGTTTCTAGCGGCGCGAGGCTCGCGCCTGTTTGAGACTGTGCAGTCGGCCAGGTGCGTGCCTGGCGACCCCGCCGCCTGGGCGTCGTGCTCCGCCTGCCCTTGGCCCGAGGGCCTCGGTAGCGTCGAGGCTCCACTGACCTTGCCACAGAACTCCACCACGTCCCGGTGTCGGCACAGACCATCCGGGTTCTCGCCCTGGAAGCGCTTCGGATGGTGCACCTTGGCCCGAAGCAGTGTGTCGCTGGGGACGAGAGGAAGCGCGCCGCGTGAACAGTGTGTCGTTGGGGACAAGATGGAGCGCACCGCGTAAACAGTGTGTCGCTGGGAACAAGAGAGAGCGTGAGCAGTATCTCGCTGGGGACAGCAGGGAACGCGCAGCGTTAACAGTGTCTCGCTGGGGATACGAGGGAGCGCGCAGCGCAAGTGGTGTCTCTCTGGGGACAGGAGGGAGCGCGCCGCGTGAACAGTACCTCGCTGGGGATAGGAGGGAGCGCGCCGCGTGAGCAGTGCCTCGCGGGGAATAGGAGGGGCGCGCCGCGTGAACAGTGCCTCGCTGGGGACATAAGGAGCGCGCCGCGTGAGCAGTGCCTCGCTGGAGGAGGGAGCGCGCCGCGAGCAGTGCCTCGCTGGAGATAGGAGGGAGCGCGCCGCGTGAACAGTGCTCGCTGGGGATAGGAGGGAGCGCGCCGCATGAACAGTGCCTCGCTGGGGACAGGAGGGAGCGCGCCGCATGAACAGTGCTCGCTGGGGATGGAGGGAGCGCGCCGCATGAACAGTGCCTCGCTGGGGATAGGAGGGAGCGCGCGTGAACAGTCCTCGCTGGGGATAGGAGGGAGCGCGCCGCGTGAACAGTACCTCGCTGGGGACAGAGGGAGCGCGCCGCGTGACAGTCCTCGCTCAGGACCGGAGGGAGCGCGCCGCGTGAGCAGTGCCTCGCTCAGGACCGGAGAGCGCGTCGCGTGAGCAGTGCCTCGCTCAGGACCGGAGGGAGCGCGCCGCGTGAGCAGTGCCCCGCTCAGGACCGGAGGGAGCGCGCCGCGTGAGCAGTGCCTCGCTCAGGACCGGAGGGAGCGCGTCGCGTGAGCAGTGCCTCGCTCAGGACCGGAGGGAGCGCCCGTGAGCAGTGCCTCGCTCAGGACCGGAGGAACGTGACAGCCGGGCGCCGGACGAGCCGACCAGCTCGCGCCTCACGTCACGGCCGCAACTCTTTTGGTTGCACGAGTTTGAACATCACGCACGGTGAAGCAATGGAATGAACGGAAGCTATGAGAAAGACGCTTCGTAAGTTAGAAGAGTGATGTAACCAGCAGTGGTTGACAGGCGCTTATATCAGCAGTTGTTACCATTTGTTGTATGGTTCTTATACAGATAACGACTAATTCGCTGGAATTTGTGTACGTTACGTACATATATGACATCACATGTTTTTAAACAAACCGCGCCAGTCAAACACAACATTGGATTGGGACTGCGCGACGGACGCTGGTCAGTTGTGCAAGTGCAGCTTGAACGTACTGGACGTAAAGCAGGCTTCTGTTTCGCCGTGGGATTGGAGGACCAAATGGGAAAGAACGGTGCCAGGTCGACTGACATCACAGACCAGTGGCTGCGATAGACCACCGAGTGATACCAGCCTTCCTTTGGCCGTTTTGTTCTCGCCTGACCCTCCCATCGGGGGGGGGGGGGGGGGGAGGGTGGATTCGATCCCACACGGGGGTGGTGGAGTAACTTTCCAGGTCGAGGCCACTATTGAAGTTTTTATCTGAGGCCGGCGGGCCGGGACAAAAATGAAACAGCCATCAGTGTCCTGGAAATCAATCTCGACCTCAAAAGGTACGCTTTGAGCAAATGCTGCTGTGTTCCAGAAGACGTAAAATCTAATCCATTCATTGCCCTCCATTTTTGGGGTTGTAACATCAGATGAGACCATGAATATATGAATAATCAGTTCGGTCTATCTATATATCAAGGAAACCTAAAGCAAGGTTGACTCTTGCGTTGGAATGCCACGGAAAGACTATGTGTGTAAATGTCTGTTGTTCGTCGTACGCAAGGTCAAGAAGAAGTTTTGATTGGCTCATTTCTGGTTCAAGCTGAAAAAAGACGCCGGTGGCCTCTGCAAAACAAGTACGTGCCGTGCATAATTTCTTCTCCTTGATTGGTCAAAATCGGAAAAAAAAACAATCAAATAAACAGGCTAGACACTGGTGGCGATCGTCAGGGAGCGATAAATACAAAAAAGTTACGGTAAAAGTGGCGAAGTCTGAGGGTAAAGAAAACGGCGAAATCATCAAACAGGCATGTCTGAAAACGAACACACTTAGCTTCTGATTGAGAATGTTTACCAGTCACATAGATCTTCAAATCAAGGGGTGTTCATACTTCTTATTCAGTTCAGGGCTCCATCCCTCCCCCCAAGTTTGTAAAGAAGTGTGCTAATCTGGGAGACATACATATTTTAGGGATACATGGCATCGCATACATTGCATACATTACGTTGGTTTTGTGTCATAGCTCATTTTTCATATCTTTTTGTGATCTTCCAACTAGGAATGCTGGCTGTGGGGAAGGAAGAATGAGCGTTGAGGGGGCCCTACGCAATATGTGGTGGCGGCGTTATGACAGGAAATTTGTTATGCCTGTTTAGGGGGAGATAGCAAGCCGTGGATCGCGGTCAATGAATTAAGTAACAAGGATGTTTTTATGTTATGGTTAGTTTTTTCTTAAATCTTTTGTAATTTTCCAGCTAGAAATGTTGGCAGGGGGGAGGAATCAGCATTAAGTGGCCCAACCCAACAGAGATATTGGGAAGTGCCCCAGAAATTAATTTGAATGGACACTCCTGCATTATACATGGTAGACATCACAGATAACCTTAGATCTGCATTTTACCGTGCATGCAAAGGGGAACTTTGGCTTGCTGGTTGAATTTCCACCAATGTTTGGATGCTGGTAAGGAAATGTGTCATTCTGCTGTAGCAGCTGATGTTTTCGTTGTCTGAAATGCAGATTTTTATGCTGGTATATATAAAATAAATAAAAAAGGATGGCAGCCAACAATTCTAACCCTTACCCTGATTCTCCGGTTTTTGTAACGCGGACTGGTGGAGAGAGGGGGGGGGGGGATTTCTGACGCTTGCCAACTAAGAAAGGTAAAGCCTCGCAACAAAACAAACAGTGGGCTGCCTTTGGCGAGATCTCGTGATTGGCAAGAAGTCCACTGTTGTTAACTGACTTCACTAGACCAAGTCGAAGGGCAAATTCTCCTGAAAACGAAACATCAGCTTTGCATGCAAGTTGTATACACGAAACTATGCAATGAAGTGGTATGAAACATGAAGAGGCATGCCCCTTGTTTAATCAGGAGTGCAATGGCGTGCAGTTTTATCTGTTTGGAGCTTATATTTATAATGTATGATTTCGTTCATGTAGCTGTCAACCCTCCGCGCGCGGTCCGCAGGATCGTCGCTTGCCCCCCGCCGCACCCGCCGGCCTTGTTCTTGCGATGGCCGTAAAAATATCACTACTCTGAAACCAAAATTGCTAGGGTCACTTTTTATGTCAGCACGCGTACAATGGATGCCCCAGAGGGTACCAAAGATTTGAGCAAGAATGCGCAATATGCCGCATTGGTATCCTCAGAAAACCGTAGGGGAGGGGGTGTTGCATGGTCCTCCCCCCACCCCCCACCCCCACCCTCCTGTCAGGGCGAGTAACTTGTTCAGAAAGAGCTAGTCGCCTGATTTGAGGTTATTGAAAAATTTCGATACAAGTTACTTGTTGGGGCACGGCGAAAGGCTATCACCAGTCAAAACATGTCGCGCCAGGCTTGGAGCATGCTTGGAGTATGGCGGATAGTTTGGTGACGGTTGAGATGGGGCTCGAAGCGCAAACGTGATTTCCATAAGGGGGCATGACCTCGTGAAGGCCCCCATATTTGACGTCATTCCCAGTGCTGCTTGTCACCGGTTCGAAATCTGCCACGTATTCTGCTGCCCTGGCTATCGAAGCCCTTCGCTGCTTTTTGCGGCAGAGGAAAGCATATCCAACCGTAGATCGAGTTTAAACGTGAGACCCCGGCAAGTCACGAGGGTGGAAGAAAATTCCTGTTGTGATTGGGCTACCGCATTAGTCTAGCGCAAGTGTGCCTGCTTTCCTAGCAGCAGCACTTATCCTAACATTTGTTAAGGGCAGTGGATGACTGAACATTTTGGTTATGTGCATGATATTGAAAATTGCAGCGATGGAAGACACTTGGTGATGGCTAATTGCTCATGACGCTACTGGGCATGGACCGTAATGACCGTTTTGTCATACGTATCACATACGCTACTGGCGACAATTTTTCCTCCAAAAATTTGTTCGGCAACAAAAAGTGCACTCTTACCACCCATGGTCCACGTACGACATAATGCATAAGGGATAGTTGGGCATTTGGTAAGGCGACGATCCGTCTTACTTTCGATATCCTGCGGCACCAGTTGGGCCTCTGGACTTCACACAAAGCCGTCCGATTTCGCAAGGCTGCCAGCGGTAAACCAATCATCGCATGCCGATAGTTATATGAGGAGCTCACACCGGTGCATGATAGTTATATAGAGGAGCCACACCGGTGCATGATAGTTATATGAGGAGCTCACACCGTGCATGATAGTTATATGAGGAGCTCACACCGGTGCATGATAGTTATATGAGGAGCACGATAGTTTATATGAGGAGCTCACACCGGTGCATGATAGTTATATGAGGAACTCACACCGGTGCATGATAGTTATATGAGGAGCTCACACCGGTGCATGATAGTTATATGAGGAGCTCACAACCGGTGCATGATAGTTTATATGAGGAGCTCACAACCGGTTGCATGATATATGAGGAGCTCACACCGGTGCATGCAAGCGAAAAATGCTGTGACAACAACCTGTCAAGGAAATGAGAGTCAACTGACAAGATAATTTGCTTGGCATGGTCAGTCAGCAGTGAACATGAGCTGTGAACTTGCCGGGCTTTGTGCGTGCGTGCGTGCGTGTGTGCGTGCGTGCGTGCGTGCGTGCGCCGCAGGAGTGGAAACCAAGGGAGCCCGAACTGGGCCAGAAACCCCGTTCCCATTATATGCAAACTGAATACTGGTACTATAGGCTTTGACTGAGAAAAGATGGCCAATTCCATTGCTTTCGATTGTCCTTCCACTGCCCCCGTCTATGGCCTGGTAGCTGTTCGTCACGTTAGCTCATTTGGCTTGAGAGCCTGTCTTGTGATTCACTCATCCATGGCGAGGTGGGTTCCAGTCATTTGAGGCGTTCGCTATTTTGTTCTGACTGGGATGGCCTGCGGCCGGTGGCAGTGGCTGCGTTAAAAGTTGGGGCAGGAGGTCAAAGGGCGGGACAAGCGTTGAGCATTGCGACACGTCAACCTTTCGTCGTGAATTTTTCCGCTGACTCGAAATTTCCAGATCGGATAGTGCGGTCAGGGCTAACGCAACAAGCACCGCTTAACGTGGGTGCCGATCCCAGAAATCCACCCAATCAAAGCGTTCGGACAAAACCTTTTGAAGCAGCGCAAGAGATGATTCTCAGCGATCCAGCTAAGGTGCACTGCAAATAGTGCCGAGAGCCTATAGCGCCATCCTTGTAACTTCGCTGGGCCCGCGCTTTTCGAGCCGGCCTAGTCGGGCCAAAGCATGCACACGCACCCGGGGAGACCATATCATCACGAGAGTAGCCAACTTTGCCGAACGGCGGCATGGGCGCGTGTTATTGGATGGTCGCCCGAGCCCCTCGCGAGCGAGTGGGGCGGCCGTGCCACGCACACGGGTTCAACAGCACGGCCGCCACCGCTGCGAAGCCGTTTATGGGGGCTCATTTGTCACTGCCTGCGCCATTCATTGCTGAACAAATATCTGGTGCGTTTTCATTAGTAATGCGCCAGGTACACAGCGCCGTTCGTCGTTCGTTTATCGAACGTCATTTATTAACACATGCGTCATACAGGTGTTTGGAGGGGAACATGACACACGTAGTCACGCACCGTTTTACAGAGCACCAGCGACAACAGCGGCCATATTGGCGTTCAGGGGCTATGGTGCAACCGGGATCCGATCACGGGCTCCCACGTGGAGGCCGAAGGCGCTAAACATCCAGCCAATGCACTCCTGTATTCATACACTGTGAGGCATGTCTGGTGCGTTTTTATGTAACTGTAGTTCAGACCTAGTACGTGAGCGGGTGAAGAGAGTGAGCACGCCGGGAGTACGTAAGTGAGCAGGAGAAGAGAGTGGGCACGCAGTGAGTACATGAGCGAGGACATGAAGAGAGTGAGCACGCAGTGGGTACCTGAGCGAGCACGTGAAAGGTGAGCACGCAGAGAATGTGAGTGAGCACGTGAAGAGAGTGAGCATGCAGTGAGTACATGAGTGAACACGTGAAGACAGTGATCACGCAGTGAGGACGTGAGCGAGCACGCGAAGCGGCGCCCGGTTGTAGTCATAAAGGCTTGACCACATTTGAGTCCACCTGGTTTATTTGTTTGCTTGTTTGCATGGCATTCGTGAACATCTCTCAATTATGGGAACGCACTGATCAAGCAACAACTCAACGCAGTCGTAGGACTACTCACCTCCACTGAATATGTGAGAACTCGCTGAAGATTAGGGCACGGGCATCGCCACAGGCGCTTGCCGTGCTCGTGATCAATCTGTTGAATTTCATTCCGATTGGCTCAATTTAATGAGCAGAGGTGATCGTCAGCGATATGCAAATGATCGTCAAAAAAACACGGCGAATCCGGTCGACAGGCACACGTAAGAGGCAGGCATATGATGCTAACACATCCAAACAACACTTATCGTTAACTTATAGATATAATTATAACTTCGGAGTGATATCGCTTAGCACTAATGCAAAATATGCAATCATCACGTTTTCCCCGCATTCCAGGGGTGTATGATGTGCACCAAGCACGTGCTTGGCTGCTGCGTTGTCCTCAACGACTGATCGAGTGAGTCCGGAGTCGCCCAGGTGGAGGGGATCCCTGAGCTGACAGACGCTCTCACAAGGACAGAAGCCCTTGTGAGAGCGTCGCAAGCGGCGCTCTCCGACTGAGCGGCGCACCTGGCAGCGCTTGGCAGGACCGGAATGTTACTCACCTGTACCGGGAGTTCATAAGCACCGTGGCGAAGAAGTGCTCGTCCGGTATGATGATGACCCGTAGCAGGAGGCTCCAGCGAGCAAGCGGGGACGACGGTAGCTCAGATATAACGAACTCGACGAACTGCCGGTCCAGTGCCTTCCAGGTGGCACTGATGGAGGCGAGGGCGTGCTGTCAGGGCTCATGTCGTGGCAGATGTGACTGCTAGTTCGCTGTCGGGCTGACTCGCTATACCATGCACGATTTCAATCTCCTGTCAATTATGAGAGCCGGTAGTCCTGGCTCTATCTTCAGTCCTCCTTTGCGTTTACTTCTTGTTCGACCCAACTATATAAGTCTGATGTTAAGACGCTCTGCAGAAAGACGGCTCTTAATGTTGCTAAAATCTGATGTGTCAGCACCGGGTGTCAGGCTACTTACTGTCCATAAACAGGTATCTTCAACTGGAGTGGACGGTTGCCGGGTCGTGAGACGTTGAATACGAAGTCGCCACAGCCAAACCTGAGAGCGGCAATAATCCGAAACATATCATCATTCCATTTTTACGATCAGTGAATAGCTAAGAAAGGCAAATTTCCAGCATGTCTGATGGTAACGTGGGACAGCCTGCCAGCTAAATAGATAACAAATGTGCAACTGTATGGATATTTCCCATTTGAGCACCTCCCATGAAATGTCTAGTGTCCCAGTCTTCCCCCAGGCATCACGACAAACCAAATTTAGACAGCACGTCATCAGCCACGCTATAGTTCCTATGCGTTTGGTTCTAAATCGACCAGCCCAAACAAAACCCGGCTTCTCACATGGCAAACACGTTGTTCTCTTCGTGCGTCCGCATGAACTTGTGCTCGGCATGATGGAGCAGGTTTCGGCCGCGGTACGGCGCTAGTGTCGCAGCTAGCTCGGCCGCCGGCCGCAGCGGCAGGTCAAGGCCACTGAGGGGCACGGCGAAGTCCCACGGAGCCATCCTGAGCAGCTCTTCCAGACACTGCCGACGGCGGCCAGCACCTGTCAGCGGCTAACTGCGGAGTATCAGGTCCTCACAACGCGGAGTGTCCGCCACTCAGCCGCGCGGTGTCAGGCACTCAGCTGCGGGGCGTCAGGCACTCAGCTGCGAGGCAACAAAGCGTCCGATACCTGTTGGGGCCGCCGTAAGACCTTAGAACCGGCTAAGGGTATCAGGCACTAAACCGCAAAAAGCCTGGATAAAGGCGAAGTTTCCTGTCGTGTTCAGCTCAATCTCCTGCACGTGAGAGCGTCGCGGCCCAGTGGCCGACGGTCGGAGCCCACCGAGGGTTGCTCCTCCCCACACCAGGCCGGCGAGCTCAGTCTCAATCGGCTGCCCCCGCTGGCTGCTCTCATGTGATCATGTCATGCTCAGCCTGCAGAAACCCCGACTTAACATAGCCTCGCCTCCAACTCCAGCTCAGCCTCTGACCTATATCCCGACAGCGCTTGGGGTATTTCGCCGGCCGCGATTACTTCGCGAGTTAAAAGTACCTACGCTATCTCAGGATCTAGTCGTTTGGCCAGATAAATTTAAACTGTAATCGATAGCCGTGGTCATTCGCATGCATGAAATGTTATGTTGTGGGTTACGCTACCAATAAATCACGTTGTAGATCACGTGGTGTAATATTGCTGAAATGCACAAATGGGTAGCAGGTATCAATGGCGTTCAGCACCCCTAAAGTTAACCCGATGGACTTTCGTTGGTGATCTGAAACAACCACGTGGCGAACGATGCACATTGACAGAAGCGTGGTTAAACCAGTCGAATAGCTGCGCTGGTAAACTTAGAATAAGAAAGGAAACTTCGAACAGCTCACCATGGCAGCACAAAAGGCGAAGCAAGCTTACACTGCTGACGTTATAACGCCGTCACCGAAACGCTCTTCGCAACGAAATCATCGAAACGGCTCCCCAAAATGCGTGAAATTAATTACCTGAAGGTACGAATAAAACCCGCAGGAGGTACTTTAAACCCTACAGGCTGTCATAGAATATCAGGCTCACGGCTGGGTCCTCTCTCACTTCTCATGGAGCAGCGTTGGCGAACTATCCTTGCCGTGCCCACCTCTAATTCGGCGCGCAAGATGCGTTCGGAGCCCCCAGCTGGCAGCGAAGGAGCGGTGCTTCTCGAGTAGGCGCAGCCGCTGCCGGTCCGGGTACCGCTCTGCCAGCGCTGCCTCAAGCTCACGACCGCAGTGCTGTGCTCCGCAGATCCACGTGGATCACATACAGGTGGGCCGGGTCATACACGCGTTCGAGCAGCTCCATCTGCCGACGGAGGGGCGCTGGGGTCGGCAGGGCGGATGGCGGGAAGCCAGGGGCCGGCGGCGGGAGCCGAGGGTCGTCACCGGACAGTGACGGCGGTCAGCGCCCCCGATGGTATCAGCGGCTGGTATCATCGTCAGTCGACGCCGGACAGTGGCGGCGGTCAGCGCCCCCGATGGTATCAGCGGCTGGTATCATCGTCAGTCGACGCCGGACAGTGTCGGGCGGTCAGCGCCCCCGATGGTATCAGCGGCTAGTGTCAGCATCGTCAGCCGTCACCGGACAGTGTCGGCGGTCAGCGCCCCCCGATGGTATCAGCGGCTAGTGTCAGCATCGTCAGTCGACGCCGGACAGTGTCGGCGGTCAGCGCCCCCCGATGGTATCAGCGGCTAGTGTCAGCATCGTCAGTCGTCACCGGACAGTGGCGGCGGTCAGCGCCCCCCGATGGTATCAGCGGCTGGTATCATCGTCAGTCGTCACCGGACAGTGACGGCGGTCAGCGCCCCCCGATGGTATCAGCGGCTAGTGTCAGTATCGTCAGTCGTCACCGGACAGTGGCGGCGGTCAGCGCCCCCCGATGGTATCAGCGGCTGGCATCATCGTCAGTCGACGCCGAACATCCCCCGCTGAGTCAACGGCGAGCGTGCTGCTGCGGGCGGACGACCTGCGCCTAATCTCAGGCCGCGACCGCGCGGCACGGATTTCATCCACAAATGTTGCGGCGCGCTTCAGTAATCTGACACCTCCGGACTTATGTTGGGGTCGTGCATTGACACGTGAACATCCAATTAGCCGGTGATGCCGGCTGGGCATGCTGCCCTTTATACGGAGATAAAGGGCAGCATGGCTTCTCTTATTACGCATTGGCAGACGGATAGGCTTTGGTAGCATCCCTGTTAAGGCTGCTGGAATGCGACAGGACCGCTCGACACCACTGAGCCATGACTTACCACGGCGCCAAATCCACTGTGCACCATGACTTACCACGGCGTCAAATCCACTGTGCACCAGCAGGTAGAAACCTATTGTGACTGGCTCCAGAGAAGGATGCCGCACTGGAAGACGATCAGTGGGCTTAACGTTATTGTACAGAGAAAAGCAGTGCGTCATTTAACAGCATTGTTAAACAAGTAATTCACAAGAGTAGAAAACTACGCGTAATTTGATCCGCCGCATCGGTCACTGGAGTTCCGGAGTGGTCTCTGTACACAGCGCGGACTGGACGCGGTATGGAAATCATGCCTAGGGTAATGTGCCCATGACGTCGTCCAACATCTATTCATGCAACATGATTTTTAGGATCAATGTCAGATGCTGCAGTCAGAGCTATAGAACACCATCAATTGTCAACAGTGAAATTAAAAAGGTGCATGTCAAAGTTTTCCCTGAACGTATGGACATGCAAGAGAGACGAAACGGCCGCATGTGTCTCTCAGTCTTCATCACCCTCGGCGACGTCTGAAACTTGGGGGGTGTTGACACGCGGCGACGGCAGGGGTTAGCCGGCACCTTGCCGCAGTAGCCCGGTACCGGAGTCCCCTCCGCCTGCTCGGGCGGCTGCACCGCGGGCAGCTCCAGCGCTCCGGCCTCGGAGGAGCCGACGGCTCGGCGGTGTATTGCGGACTGATGAACGAACGTGCGGAATATCGATAGCGGGCCGATTTGGGAGTGGAGCGCCGTGGGGTTTTATTAAGGAGCAAAGTTACATTAACATGCGCTCGGGTAGGGATCAATTTGAACCCCAAAGGTTTTCCCAAAATTGTTTCCGAACGACGCGGCATAATCGCGCCACATGTATAATGGCTGTAGACAATTGAATAGTGGATCGTTTAGTATCAAAACTTTGCATGTACCATGTAAGTTTACTGACCATATAGTTCGAATCTATGTTTGAATTATCTATGCATAGTGCGTTGAATGCATATGCATACGCATGTGCATTATGCACAGTTTGAATCTAGGGTCAAAGTCAGATCATAAATTAAGCGAAGCCCATTTCTAGGGGAATCGTTCAATCTGATGCGGCAACGGAGTATTAGACGAGGCCGTACATCTTTGAGGTACTTTCTAAGGCAGCACAACAATAATATCAAGGTAAATAATATCAGGTAGATAATCAATCAAGGTAGATAATATCAAGGTAAATAAAAGGCATGTATTAAGTACAATCTGCACCACCTTTCACATTGCCGGGATGCTTGGAAAGCAGAGGTGGGATTATCAGTGCACACGCCTCGGTCACACGGTCCGAGGTTCAGGACATCCGCAGGTATGAAGGTCAGACCAATGTTAAATCCTCCTGTTTTATTACTCTAGGGCTTGCTGTAGAAGGTAGTGTTTGGTGCTTATTTCGAATTTATTGATCAGGAGAACCGCCATATACATCTTCCACAGACTTCTTAAAGGTCATAATAGGTTACTGGCCTAAAATGACCCAGTTCAACGTTTTGTTTTTCGGAACATTCTGCCTAGTGTCATCTCTGTCGCTTTTTCAAATGCAAAACTCACGACAGTCTTGTATGATTTTGGTCACCATGACCTTTGAAAGATCAAACAAGGTCACTGACCTTAAACGAGCGCGTGAAGTTTTGCTTAGAACAGGTATCTAGGTTCTGGGGCACGGTGGAGACCAACCTTGAGTTTGACCTCCTTTGTCCTTATTTGAGCCGAAGGTCATGACCCAGAGACCTCAAACTGTGACCTAAGTGATTTCAAGTACAGGCTAATGCACTCTGTGAATTTTGTATTTCTAGCTTTCTTAGTTCCTGAGATCTCAGCGGCCAACCGGCCACCGGGGCGCGCATTAAGGCACGGTTATGTTGAGACGTATCTCCCTCTTGTGAGCGGCTCGAGCCGGCTCCAGCCTAGAGGAGACGCGTTCGGACCGATCACTCCTAAACTTAATGAAAAAGGCTGTTAAAGCGAAGAAATTAGATATGCCCATCACCCCAGCTGTTCACGGGCTAGTTTTTTCGATGAGAACGGCGAAGGGTTTGTGATACAAAGAGAAATAGGCCAAATGGGCCTACAATAGTAGCGCCTTTATCATCTGATAGCATTTACAGCCCGAATAGAAGACGTGTGCCCGGTGACGACAGCCTTTTTCACGGTCGACAGCCAGTTCTCTAATGAGAGTTCTAGCTTGAGGTTCTGTGACTGAGCAGGGACTAAGGTGGTCGTACATCAAAGCAGTTTCGAGATCTGATCACTATGACCAGAAGAACTTTTGCGCAGCCGTTTTATATAATTCCCGCTTACGGTTTTCGCATCGGGTTGCCGGATTAAAAACAAAACCAAACTCGTTTGCGAAGATTAAACGCGTATTATGTCCCATCGGCCATCCCAATGCATGCTGCCTGAAACAGATCGATGGCATTGCCAGGATATTCTGAAAAAAATGGTATTGTCTTGTGCTAATGACAAAACAGCAATATTAAAATCATGTCATAAAATAAGAATGTTCTTATTAATATGGTTCAGGGTGTAATTGATAATATCAAGGTAAATAAAAGGCATGTATTAAGTACAATCTGCATCACCTTTTACATTGCCGGGATGCTTGGAAAGCAGAGGTGGCATTATCAGTACACACGCCTCGGTCACACGGTCCGAGGTTCAGGACATCCGCAAAGACCCGCGACCCGACAAGAAAGCCTCGCGGTTCGTCGGCGAGCTGCTGTGCTCTAACGTCTAACCTCTCCCTGAGCGAAAAAGCAAAAAAAAAAAAAGAAGCTATCCATGACCGAAGGGTAATACCCATTATCCAACAAACAGGCTTGAGATTGCCCGGGGAATGGTCAGTGGTAGACAATGCAACGAGGTCATGCCGAAAATGCAGCTCACACACCCCACGTGCGAAGAGTGATATCACGTGTGCATCATGCATGTTAAGCGATGCTTTAGTTTGGCTTTTCCACCCCTGGTGTTCTCTTCTTTTTCTACATCTTTCGTGCCCCATCGCAAGAGGATTTTTTGGTGTTTTGCCAGCTTAGTGAGGGAATGCTGCTCCGGTGCCCAATGGGAGGCCCGAACTCAACGAAGGGAACGCTGCTCCGGTATCCAGAGGGATGTCCCAGCTCGATGAA